ACTCTATCATTTTCCTGTGGAGGAAGGAAGGAGGGCCAGCAGATGAGAGGAGCGATTTTCATCAATACATCGCCAGATAAAGATCCATCTGGATCCACTGAAAGGAGGAGGGGGGGGGGCGGGGGGACGGTGGCGGAGGGGCGGAGGGGGGGCTTCTTTTGGCATCGATGCGCGGCCATTGATTGTGCGTCCCATTACCAGTATATGATCCAATCTCAAAAGGGGAGAATGGGAGCGACGCAGCGAGCGTGCCTTTCTGCTGCCCCGCCATCAAATAAGGAAGACATCCCCCCTTTTAATCACTCAGGAACGATTTGGGAAGGAATCCAAACATGAACACGGGAGAGAGAAAAGAAGGAGGGGGGGTATTAAAAAATAGAGGGAAGAAGGAGGAAGAAAAAAAAAGGAAAGCCACCGACAAGGCCTCCCTGCAAATCGTGGGTCCGCTCCGTGGGGAAATAGGAGCAGAAAGGTAGCAATCAATATTGAAACACAGAAATTAAGCATTTAAATCTGTAATTAGGGAGCAGGCACGTTTTTTTCACACCTGTACGCCGCTGAGGCTGCCAACCCCGGCGCATCTGTTTCCCTCCACCTGCCAGGCACCTGGTATCATTTCAATGGCGCTTGATTGCATTCAAACGCCGAAGACTCTTTTAAGCTTCTTAGTGATTCCCTCCCCCCTCCTCTCTCTCCTCTCTCTCCTCTCCTCTCTCCCCCCTGCATTATTTTGTATTTATTTGTATCTGTTCATTCCAATGCAGGTGCCTCGCAGTAATACTCAAGTGCGCCATACATGAGTGATTCTTTTATGCCTCAGTTCCTGCATTTGTCATTTTGGCGAAAGCAAGAGGATTAGGGGGTTTGGATGTGTACCTCCTTTTTTTCTTCCTCCTCTCTCTCTCTTTCTTTCTCTCTCTCTCTCTCTCTTTCTCTCTAACACTTTTAACAACATCCTTCCCGAGTCATTTGCATACCAAATTCTTTTAACCCCACGGTGGTCAGAGAGGACTGTCAAATCCGCTCCACTTGGCTCGCTCCGTGTGTGCAGCAGACCTGTGACCGCTGACTTAGTTCCATCACAGCAGATAGAGAGAAAAGTCAGGCATGAAAGAGGTAATGGTGAACCAGCTTTTCTTCCTCTGTCTTCTTCTTCTTCTTCTTTTGTCACTTCTTTTCAGGATAAATATTCACAGGGATGCAGCGTGAGCTTCTGCAGGCAGAGAAACATCTGTATCGGTCACTTCAGTAAAGCGTTTCCTCCTTCTTTGCTGCAGAAAAGTCAAAACTCAGAGTCAGAATCCTCAGAGCTGCTGCTGCTGCTGCACGTCCTCTGTCCTGGTTTAGTGTCAGCTGTGGTTAAAATGTTCTCAGAGAGGAAATGAGCGAGTGAAGGTTAAAGGTGATGGAGATCTGCAGGAATGACCTGTCAATCAAACTCCAACCTGCAAATACAAACCTGATGTCAGACTACGGTGTAAATACAGCCTGAGAGGCCCTGATTGGATGGTTTATATATAGAGAGATTTTATATAAGAAGAACTTCTGTCAGTATTTGTTTGATATAAACCAAATCTGCATATTTGCTGCAAACATGATCCTGCAGATAAAGAAGTGCACGAGTCAGTCAGCTCTCAGCTGAGGTAGAGACCAAAACATCCAAAGACAGACCTGTCTTTACCCCCAATTTCCACCTTCATCCTGATCGTCTCCTAAAAGGTCGTATCCTCCGATCGTAGCTGATCGTAACCATTCAAGTTAACGTGTCGATTTACACCGACTTCTTTCCGTTCCTCTGCGGATCGCCGGACTCCTCAGCTGATCACAAGAGTTCTATTATTTGCATATGTCAGAGCATGGCGAATAAATTCAGCACAGAATAATGCTGCATTCAAGTTACATCTGGAGTCAGATGTTGGAGCTGAAAATGACGTCACACCGAGTTACCAGTGTTTCAGTTACCAAGTCGGAAAAAAGCAAAATCAGAGGCCTGAAACAAGATGGCTACATCTACGGAAGTTATTTACAATAAAATAAAATTAAATTAAATTAGATAAAATCTAAAATAACTTTCGTAGATGTAGCCATCTTGTTTCTGAATACGACTCTACTTTTTACCGATTCAGTGACTGAAATGCTGGGAACTTGAGTGTGACGTCATTTTCAGCTCGGACTTTGGACTTCTAAGGTAACTCGAATGCAGAAAAACCCGTGCTGGAAAGGAAGTCGGGCACAGACACAAAATAAAACATCCGGCTTCTTTTCAAAATAAAACACTCCGTGTTTCAGGAGGATCGTATTTCACACCATGCAAACGGGCGGAGACGAACAAGTGAAAGGTTTTTAGACGTCATTTCACCCCGATGACACCATGGATGAGGAGATGCTGATTCTAGAAGTCTAGAAGTAGATTTGGGCTGTAGATTGTGTAGATTGTAGATCTACTTTGAGAAGTAGATTTTGTCTGTCTTTAGAGAGACAACTCATTATTGTGCGATTGAACGTGAATCTGCAGGTTCTTGTGAGTTCTCGGGATTACCACTGTCTGTAATCTGCCATGAAATTCACCTCACCAATGGATGCAGTAGGAATTGGCGAATGGCGGAGACTGCCGCAGTTCTGGATGCGTAGAAAATGGGGGTTAACGACCACAGTCATTGATTTAAACTTCCTTATTGGCTACATTCAGCCAATCAAAACACCCGCAAAGATTTAAATACATGCAGTTGTCGCTGGTCGGGCGCTGAAGTCCGTATCTGACGCCAGATTTGCATCTAGGGTCATACCTCAGGTAATGGTATTACCTCCTTAAATGGATGCAAAGCGTTACAAATGAGTTTTTCATTCCTACAGCAATTCCATTTGGGTTTTAAGGACCAGAATGAACCCCGGCCACCTGAGTCACCCCTGACCCCCCTTTTCTCCTGCTGGAAAATAAAAAAAAGTCAGCCGGGGAGCCGAGATGAAACTTGGCCGCCGGCTGCACCATGTGCAAGTGTTGCAAATTTGCAGAATTCCCTCACTTTGCTCCCCCCTCCCTCCTCCCCTGGAAACTAATGGGATCATTCTGATTCGGTTACGGAGATTCAACAGTTAGAGAGCCACCATCTGCGTTTCTGTTAACCTGAGTCAGATGTGAGCCTGTCGCTACTGCAAGGTAGAGCAGCTTGGTTAATGATTCTTAATCTTTTCTTTAATTAAATTGTGCAGCCAACCTGAAAAATCTATCTTAATGCAAATGAGGAACTCCTTTTTTTGGCATTTGCTTACCGTAATGCACTAATAAGGTTAATTTAATAAAAATCTGTTCCAGTTTTTAGAGATAATTGTGTGTTTTCTTGATCTATTTCGTACAGAGCGGAGGGAAAAGTGTTTGTTTGTGGAAACTGCAAAAGGGAGGGGCGCGCAGGAAGAGAGAGACCTGCCGTGGATAATCGTGTTTGTGACAACTGAAGGTCTGTTTGTGTTACACTGAGGTGCTGCTCCACTCCGCGGGTTAAAGATTAAAAAACAAGAAGAGGCTCTAAAGGTGCATTTTCTCTAAAAAGACGAAAAATAAAGTCTGCAAAACATGGAAACACATGAATACATAGATTCATGAGATTTAGACACGACAAGCAGAAGATGTTCAGTTATCAGCTACAGAGACATGCTTTACACATGCACACTGATGCATAATTCATACCTGCTGAAATATGAACCTAATGTCGGGAATCATCCAAACAAAGTTGTATAAGGCGACAGGTACGAGGCAGTAAAGTGGAACATAAAAAAGAAAAAAGAAAACAGGCTAATTTGGCAAAAATACTCGTTTTTAATGAAATATTCAGAGCCCTCATGCTTAAGGTACATAACCTAATCTGAATGTGCTGAATTATTGATATTTACAGCACAACTGATGCCTGCTCCCTGCAGCATGAGGAGCTGTAAATTAACGCCGCTTACTGGTCTTCATATAGAAACGGAGGATTTTCATTGGTGCAGATTGAAGCTTCGCTGCGTTTTGATATAAAGGTGCGTGCAGAAGGATGAGCCGGGATGATTTAAGAGGTTGTTTTTCAGGAGAAGATGGAGAAATGTGCACGTTTGGTTTTAATAGTAGTCTCCTGATGCTGAAGTTGGAGGTTAGAAAATGTGTCTGAGGGGAAATAATGAGCAGAGACAAAGAAGACAGGTCAGATCTGATGTTTGAGTTTTAATTTTGGGTGTATCTGCATGTTTTTACAGGTTTATTCCTTTTTTTAAATGATTGTATTGGGCCATGAACGCTGCATATCACTTAATTATCCTCTGAGCAATCAAGTGCAAAGAGAGTTTCTGCATCTCCACCAAGAAAAAGTGGAAAGTTTAATGTTTTTATTCCAGTTTTAGAGTTTTTAAAGGTTTTGCACGACACACACAGTAGAAACTGCATAAATCTGAGACGACTACATAACTGCAATAGAGAGGGTTCATGTGCCGGGTCCTTTCAGGCTGGACTCACAGGTTGTAAAGGAGATTTTCCTCCTAAATAAGACAACCTTTTCTCTCTTTGTTGTTATTTTTTAATGCCTAGCTCATTTGGACCCCCTGTGCTGTAATCCAAATCATAATTTCTCTGCTTTAGTCGGCGTTTGCATCAATTAAAAGCATAAAAACACGGTTGCACAGGCTGCAGAGTTCAAGTTTGCAGCTGGCTGGGAAAAAAAAAAGAAGTCATTAATTAGATTACATTAGCTGCAAAGGCTTAGAGAGGATTAATGTCGAGAAACGTGTGCACTCAAAAGCAGAAGATAGTGTACCTGGGTGTGCTTCAAACCTGATTAGCTCTGCGCGGCGGCGGGAGCAGCGGCGAGCTACCAGGGGTTTGACGGCTCAGGTCTTGTTGTCTACCTGGCAGTTTGCGAGTAATCTCTCCATTGTGCTTGTGGGAGGACGGCAGATTTAGACATCGGTGTGTATTTCTCAGCTGTCTGCACAATCACACACACACACTCTCCGTCTCTTTTTTCTCCTTTTTTTCATTTCTTTCCTCCTGTCTCGTACATCTGCTCCGTGCACACGAGGCCGGCCCCCTCTGCTGTTCCTGGCAGCGGCTTAACCAGGAGGTGCGTGTGCGAGCCAAAGTCAAGGTGTGTGTTTGTGTGCGACACGTTTTCAGAGCCAGTTGTAATAGGTGAATCACTGCAGCGTATCCCAGCATCCTCCCTGGTGACGGCCTGCGCTGGCAAGCGGCGGCAGGAGGCTCGTGTCAGGAGACGGGGAGCTGGAGTAGAGCGTGTCAGAGGCTCCTCGTCATCGTCGGGCGACAGGAAGAAGACATCCGTCAACGTCTCCTTGGCGCGTGAGTCCCGCGCTGCTGGGAATTCAGAGAGACTGCGAGGCTGCGAGGGTAAATCCAGCAGTCAGATATAAAAATGGAGATGGGGGGGGGGGGGTAACAGACAGAAGAGCAGCCCCGCCCCCCCCCCAACCCCCGTTGGCTGACAACGTTAAAACTTCATAAAACGCAACCGTGCCGATAAGACGACGGCCTCCATGTCAGACAGCCTCACTAACAAGTCTGAGGACTGAAGGTGGAGGTGAGTCTTCAGGGAGGGGGGGGCTGCTGGCTAAGTGAGCTCCGTGCACCTGACACACACACACACAGACACACACACACACACGCTCTCCTCTTCCTCCTCCTTCTTTAACAGTGAATAAAATTGACTCGCTCGCTGCGGCACGCAAAGGTGCGGAAGCCGGTAGCATCACCTAAGCAGAGGCGTGCTGATCACACCTTCGCTTAATGAGCTCCTCAGAAGGTCTAAAATAGCTGAGCCCCCCCCTCCTAACTCTGCCGTACCTCACCCGTGTCCTCACCCCTCTCAGTGGCTTGTCAGGTGGAGCCTCACTCATTTGCGGCTCCGGCTGTCATGCAGGGAGGAGGCGAGGCGGAAAAGTTCAGATTCTTATCTACTTGTTGGAAACACGATTAAGGAGTCGGCGGCGTCACGTTTGCTCAACGCCGAAAAAACGTGATAAAAACACCAAAAACAGATCCGACAGGAGAGGGCGGAGACTGTTTTAGCAGAAACTTCAAATGTTGGTTAAAAGTCGATCACACCACCTTCTCAGTCTGAGCCGATATCTGCAAACTGAAGTCGAACAAGGCGAGCCTCCTGTCTCCTGTTATTATACATGAGGATGATATAAAGTCAGACCTGCAGACTCGACATAAACACAGGACCAAAATACATGTGAGTACGGCTCATAATTCAGAGTCTGTCAATAATTAATCCAGGAATACCTGCTCCCAACACGTGTAATCTTTTTAGGATTATATTGGGGGAAATGCTGTCGTGGCGGTGACAGGTGTTCCTGCATTAGCATCTATTAAAAACAGATTATGTGGCAGTTGCTCTCATTTTGGCGCCTGACACGCAGGAAATGCTGTTGTTGGCGGTGGAGCGGTTGCAGAACACATATGTGCCTGTTGGAGGACTGAGTGGTACACCGCCCGCCCGCCTCTGTAATCATGGAGCGCCATTATCTGGATGTTTTTTTTAAACCTTTATTTATCCGAGGAGAGTCTGCTGAGCGCGCACATGCTTCTGCAGCAGCGACATCCTGCTCTGCGTTCAGATATCTGCATGTTTGGACATGCAGACGCTGTAATGGGTCTATTAATGTGGACACCGAGCTTCACCGAGCTTCACCGAGCCTCTTTCACACATGCACCACACTCCTGAAGTGAAGAGATGTCTAAGTCCCTATCAGACCCTAAAAATGTCAGTATGCAGCTCTATAATCTTGGCAAATACAAACATCAGATCAGGATTTAGAAAACTGGATCAGGATTGGTGGACGAAAAGCTGATGGGTCATCGCTGCAGCAGACTAAGGCTGTGTCTGAAATGAATCACTCAATCCCTAACCCTCATATGGGGTTTCACTATATAGGTAACTATGTAGTGAACTCGATCACCAGAGGTTTCAGACACTACATGGCAAGATGCAATGCCTGACGTCACTACATTTTGCAATGCTCTATGGGAAATTTTGAGTCGCCTATATGGGGCATTGGAATTGATCACTCAGGTTTTGGACACCCCTCAAAATGGCGCTAACCCCCATATAGTCGCCTATAGAGGAGTTAGGGATCCATTTTGGACACAACCTATAATTTGACCTCACACTGAATACGGCTGCACAAGTCCAAAATAGTTCAATTTAAAAATGCAAACGCAAAACAAACCAGGGCCTGACACGAACTTTTTTCACATGTTCTCCTGAGTTGAAAAATTCAGGAGCACACAAAGAACTTTAGAGGCACGATGAAGATTGATCAAATAATGTTTGTCTTATTGGTCGGCATAAGTACTATAACTTGAAATTAATCTTAGGTCTTTTGGTCACATGACAGTGAAGCTATTGAAGGAAAACAGCCTTTTCTGAGAACATCAACCGGTAATTTAGTGACGGTCCCTTATTCAACACCGACGTTGACAGTGAGGGTGTCCAGTAGATTTAACCGCGCTGCTGTTGTTATTCCCGGTTATGGAGAGTGAGAAGACACCGATAGATCCTCAGAGAATGTCCGTCAGATATCCAACCTGAAACTAACTTCACCGCCGTATTTACAGGAAAATATATCCAACCTGAAACTAACTTCACCGCCGTATTTACAGGAAAATATATCCAACCTGAAACTAACTTCACCGCTGTATTTACAGGAGAATATATCCAACCTGAAACTAACTTCACCGCCGTATTTACAGGAAGATATATCCAACCTAAAACTAACTTCACCGCCGTATTTACAGGAAAATATAACCAACCTGAAACTAACTTCACCGCCGTATTTACAGGAAAATATATCCAACCTGAAACTAACTTCACCGCCGTATTTACAGGAAGATATATCCAACCTAAAACTAACTTCACCGCCGTATTTACAGGAAAATATAACCAACCTTAAACTAACTTCACCGCCGTATTTACAGGAAAATATAACCAACCTGAAACTAACTTCACCGCCGTATTTACAGGAAGATATATCCAACCTAAAACTAACTTCACCGCCGTATTTACAGGAAGATATATCCAACCTGAAACTAACTTCACCGCCGTATTTACAGGAAAATATATCCAACCTGAAACTAACTTCACCGCCGTATTTACAGGAAAATATAACCAACCTGAAACTAACTTCACCGCCGTATTTACAGGAAAATATAACCAACCTGAAACTAACTTCACCGCCGTATTTACAGGAAAATATATCCAACCTGAAACTAACTTCACCGCTGTATTTACATGAAGAAACATTTGTCGACTCGGCTGTTTTTTTTTTTTAAATGCACATGTGACTCTAAATACATTTTACAATTCACACACATCTATTTTCAGTTGCAAATCTGAGTGAAACGGTCGCACTGTCGAGTCCTGTAAACTGTTCACTATCTTTTTATATTTTTCTTTCCTTGGATGGTAACAGGTGCGTTTTTTTACTTTCAGATTGAGACTGTTTTGGGATATTTTGCTGGTTTTGACTTCTATCCCTTTTTCTCAAACTCAGGTTCTCCTCTCTGTAAACTTCCCTGGAGAGCGTTCAGAAAAAAACATCAAATAAAAGCAGGTTTAGAGTCAAATTATCCAGACTGAGAATTTAAGTGCCTCCTAAAGACCAAACCACATGAATCCTGATCAGCCCTCCTCCCCCCGCCTCCCCTCTCCTCCCCCTCCAGCTGCAGTAATGGCTGGCAGGTCACACATGCACACGGGCAGAAAGGAAGTGCTAACGTTCAGTCACAGATGCGAGCCTATATAATGAGGCCCAGTAAGAAGACGCCATAATATCCTTGCTAATAAGGTATAATCGTCTCATTGTAATCAAGTTAGGTGCAATTTATGAGGGGTAGGGAATGGGCCTTTTGACTCGTGATGCTTTTTTTTCTTCCTCCTCCTCCTCCTCCGGATGCTGGCGAGCGGGGCTGAGAGTGAGCATTGTTAAAGGGTTGGAGGAGGACACATGCAACCGCACATGTATGTCAGAGCGTGTGACTGTGTGTTAAAGCTCATTAGCAGGAGGAATGATCAAACATTACACTCCAGAGCCTCGGCTAACTTTTGCATTTGATAAACAACTCGGCGTTGATTTTGTTTTTAACAGAAATAAAATAAGGAGGGAACTTAATCGAAGCTTTTTGTTTATGCAAACTGACATTAAAACCTGTGAGATCCCCTTTAACCCTCGATACTCCACACTACAGATGATAACCTGCTCCTTTATGACTGCTAATGCTTCCATCTTTAAATGCATCATGGAGAAACAAACGTGGATAATTGGAGCAGCATGAAGCCTAAAACCTGCAGCTCTCCGTCTGTAATCCGAGAATCCTCAAGTGCAGTATGTTTAAGAGGCTCGTGCACATTCATTTATGTTTCTCATACTCCTGCATACTTCATGAAGATGAATTACAGTGAAAAAGGAAAAGGTACAAACCTGCCAAGCTCTGCTGCTGTATAACATACACCGACTGCATGAGCACATGAAACCAACTTTCCAAAGTGTAACATGATCCTGTAAACTCTGCGTGTCTGTGTGGTCTGATACAGTCACACTCGGCCGTTCACATCAAACGTCTGCTACACAAGAAGAGTATGAAAGGAGCCAAAGTTGCATGTGCCACCTTGAAGACAAAGTCGAGCGTCTCACCTCATGCACCGAGTGTGTTTTCCATGCATGCAGCTCCCCTCGTACCTCAGTAATTGCATTCCCTGAGCCAAACACCCACCCATGGGTGATTTGACACTGTCTGTTTGATGCACCGTGTGTGCATGTGCGCACATAAATGTGTGTTTGCCGCGCCTGGAACATATTACTGCCGGTAAGCCGAACCTGCCTGCGATTGTACTAATAAAGGCCGTGCTGCTTTGGCTCAGCCTCGACGGTAGACAACGCCAATTACATAAATCGGCAGAAACGCGAAGGGGTCGTCTTCCACAGCCTCACTGACACCGGCTTTGAACTTCCCCCGACTTCAAAAGGTATCCACTGAGTGATTACCAGGTTACAGGCCGGGTGTAAAAAAAAAAGAAAGGGAAAAGAGGAAGAAGAAGAGGCAGTGTATCCTTCTTCAAATCACCTATGTCCAAACATTGACATTTTGATGCCTTTGAAACATGTGCTGTTGGCTGAAAACCTGCAGATCACAACAACAAAGTGGCTTTTTATGAAAGTCGATAAAAAGCCTCCGTGTCGAAGCTCTGATGCCGTTTGATCATCAAGGTGGGCCTCAGAAAACCAGATCAATTCAGAGGGATGTTCAAGGCAGGTTTAAATACTGAGCTTTAATATGAACTGAAAAATTACGCACCAAAAACTGCAGTTCATCAACCAGCCACTGGGGGACAGCTCCAAAGGTGAGCCAACTCCCATTAGGCTCCATATTAAAAACATTAGCGATCTTACAGTAAAAAAAATGATTAGATTAAATATGACAGGAATAAAGTGATAATTTTAGAGTACTGTTAGCCTGTGTTTTATTTTGAAAGGTAATATCAGAAGAGTCGAGGCATTTTAAACCACTAAAATAGCGGGTAAAACCACTTTAGAACCAGATTGGAAATGTTCCTTCTGCTATAAAACATGGGTTTAAATGGGGCTAACTGGGTTTTAGACAAAGCCTCAAGTGGACACTTGAGGAACTGCAGTTTACGGAGCTTCGCATTGGCTTCGTTTGACTCAGTGTCTCAGTCAACCAAAGCTGCTCTTTTAGCTCACCACACTTTTAGTTTTTTATATAAGAGTCAAGAGAGGATCATGACTACGCCAGCTACATCGTTTCAGCTCGTTCAGCGTCTTTAAAAAAAAAAAAGAAACTAGCTCTGAAAACGAACATGCGGTCATTCTGCAGAGATGTGTCCGATAAGGAGTTAGTTTACCATCTGCAGGAAAGATAAACACTCAGAGGTGTAGAAGCCAAACCAGAATCTGGTGTCGTGGCGTTTTCGTCCATTTTCGCAGATTTGAGGTTTGAAAAAGAGGAACTTTTGAAAAGGATGTTTTGTTCAGGTGGACTCTGGGAGCTCCTCTGTGTTTCCGTTGATAAAGAGTCCAGTACAAAGAAGGAGTCTGCAGTCTGGTGGAGTCTGAGTGGGTGAGCGGCGTGCTGAGACAGCCCATCAATCAGCCCCTTCGAACACCTTTCCCCCCCACTTCCTGTAAGTGCTCTGCGATCCACAACGGCCGCCAGGAGTCCGCAGGAAGCCACCGGGTGAGGATTCAGCAAACCTATTTTTTCCTTTTAATTTGAGCAATTGCTGCAAGTATTGATTGAGCGAAAGCACAATGCAGTTACAGGAGAGGTGGAGAGAGGAGCGCCGAGGGGGGAGGGCCCGGGCGCCGTTAATGTAGCTCCGACAGGGGAATCAAACGCTCCCTCTTGTTTTAAGCACTCCTCCACCCCGGCTGCACAAGGCAACGGTGCCGAGTGGGTCGATAGCGCTGATTAAACGGCACATATCCCGGTCATCAATATTATACACACTCTATTTGCGGGACAGCCATGTTGAAGTCACACTGCTGGAAACGTCGACAGATACAGAGGAAGTATGGAGGGAGCAGAGAGGAGCAGAGAGGAGCAGGAGAGGAGCAGGAGACGGTCCAGAGCTGAGATTAATCAGTCCTCTGTCTCCTGTTTACTGTTGGTCATCACTAAGTATCCGTCCAATCAGGCGCAGGACGCTGCGGCACGACTCCATCATCGCCGTCTTACACTGAAGCAGATATTTAACATTACTGTCGCCTTTTTGGAAGATCTGTTCCTTCAAAATAAAAGCACAGTCTGTCTTATTGGACTTCCACTCAAATTTTCCTCCTCACTTCAACCTTAACACGACACAGGAAATATATCAAAATAAAAGCATGACGATAACCCTTTAAACGCTCTTAAGAAGTTTAGCTGACAGGGCGGACGATAAATCGTAAAAGTGTGTATTCACACACCAAAACTACATGATGTTACACAAATGTAAGAGTAGAGGAAGTGTTTCTGCAGCCTCTGTGCTCAACGTTCAGCAGACGTTTTTCAAATATTTGATTAATTTATAACCGTTTCTGTGATGTGTAACAGGAAGAGATGAATCTGCACTTGCAGAAGGCTCTGCTACACTTCAGCAACCACAAACACACACCTATCCACCACTGACACACACACACACTCACACACACACACACACGAGCCCGGGACAGTCGATAGCACTACTGCATGATAATCGATTGCCATTTGTAACAGCAGGGTAGGCAGAGGGGTCCGATCAGTGCAAATTATTGTCACCGCATGCTGTCGTGCTGTGCAGTCAGCCGGCCGGCATCGCAGAGCAAGATAAATGACAAAAGAGTCGTAGGAGCAAGATAGCAGTTAGTCATACCTGGTAGTGCAGGGGACTCGACATGGGGGCGCACATCAATACGACAGAGGGGGAGGAGGGGAGGAGGAGAGCAGGGAGAGGGGAGATATTAAAATACAGCAAACAACAGGTTTTATTCCAGTCAGAGCAGGTCATGTCAGTCCTGGAGATAAGGTTTTTTTAAAGCATGTATCAGGGTTGACAAAAATATGTTTCCTTTAAACTCAGATTAAACTAAATACCTGAATATCTCTAAATAAACCTGTCATGTTCACTGTTTCTGACTGAACATGAATCTATTTTTTATTTTGTTATATTTTTGCAGGATTATATAAAAAAAACTGTCTGACGGAGAAAAATCTCTCATGTAAACCTGGAGGAGGGAATTTTGACAGGTTGGAAACTCACTGTTAAGCTTTTATCATCACTGACAGGTTGTTTTGTTTAAGAATCGTCACTTACAGGTATCCACGCTCTTCGACATATTAAACTAAGAAAATTATTCGACTCTCACTGGGACTTTAGTATGAACAGGAAAAATCTCGCTGACCTGGAAGAGTAGAAACTTAAAAAATGGAGTTGAGTGAGAAATTTAAAGAAAATTTCTATTCTCGTTTTTTTTTTTACAAACAAACATGTTTTTCGTGAGCAGTGTCCCCCTACTGGCCATCGGAGAGAATGCAGGTTTGATGCACCTGTGTCTTTACTCTTTAATTCACAGGGTTGTTTTGACGTTAAAACTGATCACACCAAACCTTCAGATGTTGCCCTCGTCTTTGATTTTGTTTTCTCTCTTTAAATTAAAACACCTCTGTTTCACCTTTTGCATACAGCACTGATAAATTCATACATATTCGAGTTCAGTCCTCCCTGATTTTTATCCCCTTCATGTTCCTCTCGAGCTGCATAAATACCAACACCTCAAGAATGATCCAATCGAAGCCCGAGCAAAGTGCAACAACCGCCGTGCGGTCCAGCGATGAAGACACCTCTTGAGGAGTCAGCGGTGTTGCATCAAGCGGGCTCATTGATTTCAAAACGGGGAAATGGAAAGCTCTCATTGATTGGAGATGCTCGGGGTCTTATTAAACAACTGTGACTGTCCCTAAAGCAAACGTCGGGGACAACTTACCTAACATCTGACTAGACTCCATTGATTTCTTTCTCTTCTTAGGTTGTGTTTGCATGTCCCCCGCGCTGCTCGCTGATGCCTCAGCAGCTCTGGAGCGGGGAGGCGGCGACAACAGCTGCTGTAATTTGTGATAGCCGATCAGACGCTCCTACGGGTCAATACTGTATCTTCTGCAGAAGCCGGCTAATAGGAATAAACATTTCACCTTTGTCTAAACAATCGAGTCGTGCGAATTCCCCGTAGCGCCGCAGGGTCAATGGGTGATGCGGGCGGGTAACGGGGCTCCTGTTTTAAATGGCTCTCATGCTGAAAAGAGCATCGCTAATCAATGAGGAGTCATCTTTACCAGCAAGTCAGAGTCAGATGAGGTAACTCAGGTACATCTTTAATTGTTGCAGGAGGAAGAGTCCGAAATGAGAGCTGCAGAAATCCATGGAGAGTGGGTCTGCTTAACGACGTCGGTGCAAAAAGGAAACGGAGGAATGAGGTTCTGAGAAAATGAGGTACTGCTGGGTTCAAGCAGGAACTGAGTCATCGACAAACTACAAGTGGACAGAGATTGAATGTTAGAAACACAGACGTAAATTCAGAGAGGACTAAAGGATCAACAGAACATGAGACCTGACCAGAAGCCTGTTTCCATTTCGAACCGACGGTCGGTCAGCCTCGTGTCCTTCGGTACACATTGTTCCACGGCTTTAACCACATGTTTCGTTTCCTAACATCGACTAAAAAGGTTCTCCTTCCTCGACAAACTTGTCATTTAAACCCAAACTCCAGTGTCTGCCCGACACGGACAAAGGGCACACTTTACGCCAAACCGTGACCTTCCTCTAAACGCTCCTTAACCTTACAAACCTTAACCATAGGGCTGTCACATCGTAAAACAGCCAAATACAAATTATGTACCATAGTGCATCCAGCAAACCACCTCTCTATACTTACTCCTCTCTTCTCTTCAGAGGGGAAGGTTCCCTCTGACCTGCTCAGAGCTGCAGTCCATGAACCAAATTCATATTTGCAACTTTAAATTAGTTGCAATAAGAGTTGAGTTTGTAGGACGCGGGGTTAAAAGTGTGCACGCCTCCTTGGCTGCTGATAAAATTATAACTATGCCTGAGTGAGTCTTTGGATGTGTTGCTCAAGGGCACGTCATTTTTTAAAGGAAAGGAGATCAGTTAATATTTCCCCCTCACTCCACCAAGTTTCTCAAACCGCGTTTTAAACGAGCGATTTTTACTGTCCTTAAGGGCCCTTTAAGGAAAGTCCATACTGAAGCATATAATTAGAAGCAGGCCAATCTGTGCGTCGACCTCCCAACTTCCACGCTTCTTTCATTATCCCAAACACCGCAGCGGAGCTCCTCTCTCCGAGCGCGGGGAGAGAGAGCGGCCTGGAAACCTTCGCAAAGCCAGTCCTACTGAAGGAGCACATTTCATCCAAGGGCCAAAGAGTCAGCGGAGAGTGAAATGACTGTTTGACTCCTTTCCATCGCTCGCCTCTTAAGTCACACAAAGCGCGCCGACTCCCAGCCAACTGTGAGGTATTGTATAATCGCCGTGCAGCTCTTAAGAGGCCCGAGAAGAAGGAAGTGGCTGTGGAGGGAAGTGCAGGAAGGTAGAGTATGTGGAGGGGAGGGTGGACTGGAGAGCGGTCCGACTCTGAGCGGAGACTCTCAGGTCTTTATAAACCAACAGATCATGACAAAGAGTTAAAGTCCGATAACTTCACAAGGTCGGGTGAAGGGTCAGAGGTTTCTGAAATCTGCTGCAGATTCATTTATTTCTCATGAAGAGGGTCCAGAAAGTTTGAACTCCATCATCTCGTTGATATGATTTCCTCTGTTTGACAGTCAGAAGAGATTTCAAAGTTTAGATTTTTCTCCACCTGCTGCAAACAAGCCCGGCGGACGTCTTTATCTCCTCTCCCAACAACCTGGAGGATCGACTTCACCTCCGTCTGGATCTCCTGCAGCACAGATAACTTCTCCCTCGGATGAGATGCAGATTTTAACCGTCTGGTCAAACACCCCGAGGGGCGATCAAAGGTCAGACCAAAGATCTGTTTGAAGTCCGACTCGTGGTCAGTGAAGGTCTTGTGGACACGAGTGATTCATGAAACGAGAACAAGCTCAAAGGGCAAAGTGAGGGACATGAATACCCTCTCTGTTTTCACGGGAGCGGATATTAACGATGACGCCTCGCTAATTAGCATAAAGATTCATCATCAGGGGAGGACGAGCAGGACTGAGGCGAGGACAAGCATCAGTGCTGCTTCTGCAAAAACAGTCTGAGAATAAAGGGTTAATGTGAACGAGTAAGTGTATGAAATGTGTTATTAGAGAAATAATCGATGAATATCAGGCTAATTAAATCATCATTTTGGTGAATTCAAAAGCAAAATTCAAAGCAAAACTGACAGCAAAAGCTCATAGAAGTTTTTATTATTTTGGTATTTAGTCTTGTAAACGATGAGCATTTGTTTTAAAAAGATGATTATCAAGATGTAATTTTGGTCCTTCTAAATTAATATGTATTAATGTGTTACTTCCATTATAACTTTGAGTTTGTGCTGCATTATGAATAAATCAAATCAAATATTAATGAAGATAACTTAAAAAAAATCACTAATTTAGACTAAAAAGTTCCAGTTAAATTCTGATTTACTTTCATTAAATGTAAGTTGCTTTTATTTCAGCGTGCATGATAATTCAAAGACTGTATCCTCCTGGATTTTGTCATTCCTGCTCCACTTTAACACGCCTCATTTTAACCGAACTACAGTCTTCATAAAGTTCATTCCTCCTTAAAGACTCTGACTGAAACCGCAGGAGGAGGGTCTGTTTTCTGCTCTGAGTTTGGACCGTCTCACTGTGTCGATGACAGAAATGTGGTTAAAAATGATCGATGCAGCTCAGACTGAATGTCACAATTATCTTTTTAGAGGAAGTGAAGAAATAAAGATAATTATCAGGATAAACGGACGGTTTAAACTGCGGTTAAAGCCACGGATTCATCTGTGAGGGGCGAAGAAGAAAAGCACGAAGAAAGAGAAGTAACTCCTGCTGCAGGAGAGCGACCATCGGAGCAGATTTATAAACCCGAGCGCGTTTCCTGTGCAGCACCTGTGCCGAGCGCCGGGCAGATGACGCCATATTGGATTGATGCACTTGACTTGTTTCCATGCAGGCGAAGGTACTGTGAGGACAAACAGTTAAACACACTGATTCATCTCCACCCGAGCGCGCTGGCACACACAGCTGTGCCGGCCGGCGAGCTTATGGCGTTGTCATCATACTTCAATTATGAAAGGAAACATATTAGAGGATGTAAAATGTGCTAAACTGGAAAATGGCCTCCAGCGGGTGTACGGCGGGAGGACGTGAGGTTTGTTCATTCGTGACAGATTTAACCTGGACGTGTTTCTGTGGAGCTAAAAGGTACGACTGCAGGTGAATTTACGCACAAATAAGAAAATGTTATCGAGTCCAATCCTGCAACAGCGGCGATAATAAAACCTGTGAACATTATCTGAGACTCTCTGTGATCTTCAGTCGAGTAAATTGTTCATCTGAGCTGCAGAATTCCCCTAAAAACAATCCACCGAATCAGCCAAAGGTCAGATCTTCACTCAGTCCCATGTGATTCGGCATTTTTCAAGTTTCGTGTATTTTTATCGGCACAGATTTGTTTTCTTTCTGCATTTTTCCTGCTCTTTTAGGTCAAGAATTATTGCTGCTACTGCAGACATTTTGGCACAAACTCAGGGAGTTTATCATCAGAGAGAAGGAGAGAGGAGAGCAAAGCGACTAAAAGAGGAGTATCTTTGACTATCCCTATGTCTCCTCTCAGTCTGACTCCGTCCAAACCACGATTCTGGGCACCCGGCGACTCCCCCCGCCTCACTAATCACCACCACGTCTGTGCAGAAGAGGGAAGGTGAGCAGAAAAGAGATTGGGACTCCAGATACAATGCTGCACAGCTCCATAAATCAAGCGCTCCCACAGATTCTCATGCACACATCGCTCCGTCTGGCTGCTCGCTACAAGCTGTAATTACACACCGGCTAGCTGTTGTACGGAGCCGAGGAATGAGCTACAACATAATGCACAATAAAGCCTGTCATATAAAAAATGGTGTAAAATAACTGGATCAACACTGCGTTTTATGGTCTCCCAGTAAAATGACACTCAAATGTACAAAGAGAAGGATAAAAACAGGGCTGTAAATGGATGGAAGTGCAGGGTTTCCTCCCCAAACCCGAGTGTTTTATCAGGAAACAATCAGTGATAACAAGAAGACGTAAAAATACAAGCCAACAATCCACAACATTCAAAGTGTGGAGCTAAAAAAAGCAGAGAGGATTTTTTGGACATCAGAGTGAGAGGAAGCAAAAATAGAGACAGAGGAGTCCAGAAATACAGAAAGTGAAGAAACACCGCAAATTATGGAGGAAACCAAACTTGTGCAGCATTCCTGCACAGACACAGAAATATAGACTGAGAGAGAGAGAGCAGGATTTCAATGTTGAAACTGGAAAAAGACTGAAACCGGGTCAGAACCTCCAAGACTGGAGCTCAAACACTTCTCTACAGACTCCACGATCACTAATGAGTCAGAAAACACGGCTGCAGAGACAGAGACATCCGCCAAAGTGAAGAAACCTGAAACTGTAACACGGTATGGACCCCTAACGGCCTTTATTTCTCAGATTTAACTGGAAATATGACCCTTTACACTCCGAGGACAAAGTTTTAACATTTTCTGCAGACTGCGAGGACTGAGCATGAGCAGGACTGTGCAGCTTTGAATCATGTCTGCAAATAACGAGTGAAAAAGATGAATTTTTAACTTTTTTTCAGAGGTTTACAGACTCCTCAGAAGTGTTTTTGTGCATGTTAGCAAGAGAAAGTAGGATAAATACTCGTGCATTTAATATTCTACTGCAAAAAAGTTCCTTTTATGAGAAATACTCTTAGATTATGTGAATATTTGATGCTTTTAATGCTACAAAGATGAATTTTGAGGTAGTAAAAGTTCCTCCTGAAGTCTTGATAAAGGCGATGAGGTCCAGGATGTTAGAAACCCGTCATAAAGCCATTATTATTAGGACACCAGAGAGGCTGCAGAAGTTTGTTCCAGCCTGTTTAGCGTACGAGCTCCAAACGGCAGGAAGCGGGGTTAAAGCCACATCTCAACGGGGGCTTGCGGGGAAAGAGCACACTTAAACCTGACTGGGCACTTCCTGCTTTAGGAACAACAGAGGCCACACATGGTAATGCTATAACTCCTCTGGTGACACAGCTCTTAATGGACCAGGGGAAAGCCGGAGGAGAGCCGGGGTCAGGGGATCAATCGGTACCGTGGGAAGCTTTTAAAGACTCGGCCCTTATACCAGATTTAAAAATAGAGCCGGGCCTCGCTTCTCCCATAGCGGGGAGCTCGGTAGGATGCATCTGGACTGATGCAACGGGCTGCAGAAGCCCCGCTGCTCAGAGGAAATATCCACTCGCTCGTGCTCTTGCACCATTACGTATCATTTAACCAGGATGTTCAATGGACTCCTGGTGGGAGTTTGTAAAAGCTCCGTAATTTAACTTCAGGAAACTCAGCAGCTTTATTAGTCGGCTTCACTCTGACATTTGAAGACACGTTAACTTTTTACTCTGAGCTGGATCTGACTTTTTAAGAAGAATATGAAATTACCAGGTCGTATTTTAGAGCAGTTTCAGGCTGTCGTCGGTACTAAAATGTGTAAAAAAATAGAGTTGTGTTGGCTGAACCTGACCTGAAGAAGAAGACGCACCGACCCTGAAACTAAAGCCAGAGCTTGGATTTTTGCAGGACTCAAAAATCAACATTCTTTACAGGTAAAATCAGCAGAAATGAAATATAAATTGAAGTATCCTTGAATCTTTTCAGAGGATCCTTCTTTCTTCCATGCCGTGTTGTCGGGATTGTTGCACAGTGTCCAGTAAAGATGTTCCCCACATTATCTGTATTTACAGACTCATATATCTGTCATCTCTAACACGTCACACTCATACAGAGCCGGTTTTGGAGCGTGCATCAGTTTCCTCACTCCTGTATCGCTCCTTTGATTCTGCAGCAGCAGCTTTGAGAGGCATTGTGCCTCTTTCTCTGTTTCACAAAGGTGCTCTTGTTCCTCCGCCCGCTCCAGCACGCCGCCCTCCTCTTCTTCCCCTCCTGGCCTATTATGTTTCGGCTCCTGGAAGTGCGCTCCCTCGACAAACCGGGGCTAAATGAAGATATTTGTTTCCACTCAGGTAGCGCTGGCACGTGCGCCGCCGCTGCCTCGGCTCTCGGAGACAATTAGCCGACACCTGCTCGCAGCAGATTGCTCTGGCAGATTTCTGCTGCTCCTGTCGCCTTCGACACCGCCATCTGGCCTGCGGAAGGTGTTGCACAGGTCGCCGTGCTGTGTGGTGAACCCGTCAGCCAGGAGTGACTTGGAAAGGGAGAAAATAGACACAGACAGGAAGCGAATACTCCAGAGTGCAGGCTGTCTGTTTTCTTGTTAGTCTCTTTCTTCATTCCTGGTCTTTATTTCTCTCGTTTATGGGCTCTGGCTGCCTTTTCCAGGTCAATCATGATCTTCTGTATCCTCTTTAACCTCTCACAGAGCTGGTTTATCCACTTTAAATCACAGGTTACTGCATGATGAGCAAGGAAAATCTCCACAGAGAAATGAAGGTGAGCTTTACTCAGAACTTCTGGAGTTTAAATCGATAAAAGTGCAAAAAGAAAATCTGAAAATGAAAAAGATTTTAGAGTTTTCATGAACTATGAAGCTCATTTCTGACATAAAGCTTCTTACATGAGGGTCAAATACTGACATTACTGCACAACTACCATGCATGTTATTGGCAAGGTTGCAACGACAGATGGTGTGAGGAAGAAGAGCTACACGTCTGCATATAAGCGTACATTGCTGAATGCAGTGACAGGAATCTTTTCCACACCCCCATGATTTAAAGTCAGGATTTTACAGCGATAGTTCAGCCCTAAAGTCAGGTTTATAGTCTTATCATGGCACAGAGACGGTTTCAAACTCTAAATAAAGCCCATCAACAGGTCGACGTCGTCTCTCAGAGCTGAGAGCAGCTGTAATCGTCTCTTCTCCTGATTTTCTGTTCTGCCGTCTGGTTCAGATTCTCTATTTCAGGAGCGTTTGGAAGCAGGTGGGGACACAGGGATGCTCATGCTAATGAGCGACATGCAGCCGTTGTTCTTGGCCTTACCTTTCTCCTCCTCTGTCTCTGCACTTCACACCTCCAGCACTGACCCATCTGTGCAGTCACAGCTCACATGCATGCACAGACGAACAAAAACTGGAGGTCTCTCCTGACTTCTTATTCTTAAGACCGTAAAAACATGCATTTATCATCTGATACATTTAAACATTCATTAGCATGCTAATTGATCCGTCAACTTTGTTCCAACATTAGCCGACAATGGATTCTGGCTTTTTTCAAAAATCACATTATTTGTCGCAGGGGAGCGCCGCGATTACGCATCAGCTCAAACTGACATATTTGTTACTGATTGGCCCAGAGGGAGTCTGCATCATGGGCCAGAAGAAGCGTGGGGGTGGGGTTCTGTTGGCTGTGTTTTTACCGTTACAATCACTGAGTCACCGCGGCTGAGAGCGTCACCTAAACGCCTCGCACGCTGGACTAAATAGCCGTCGTCTGTCCCGCTGCACAAACCCGAACTGACCAGCAGATCAGCAGGGATTACGTGTGTGACACCCTCACTCCCCCCCCGCATGATCCTAATGTGCTTAATATTCATGTTTGAGACGGAGGAGACGGACCTGGCTGATTTATTTGATCATCTCACTTGTATACACTCCACTTCCCTTTTCAGAAGGATTCAGGTTGCATGGAAGGAGGGGATAGCTGCAGGCTCGGCTCGGCTCGCCAACCCCCACCTCGACCCTGCACCACACCCACACACACACACACACAACATATGCGAGCACATGTACATGGAGGAGACACGGGAGCACATGCAAGTCTGACAGAGTGTGTGTTTGGAGTCACACACAGAGAAACGATGCCTGCAGATGTCCATAAGATTCACCTCTTCATGCAAATCTCTAATAAACCAATCACATGACTGCGACATATAGGGTCCTAGACACCAAACATCTTTTTAGCTTTGACTCATTTCTTTAACAAAGAGACTAAACACAACTCACCTACTCTCTTCCAGCAGACGCTTGTTTGTAGAGAGACCTCAGGCCAGTCCATTACGGACTACAGCGGGGTGCCGCAGCTCAAGGAAGAACATTTATGATCATTTCTTGATCATTTCCTTAAAGTAATAATCATCATATTAATCATTTTACAGACTCAGTAGTTCTTCTGTCTTAGCGTCTCGGTCTGATTGTATTTCCATGAAGAAATGATCATAAATGTTCTTCCTTGAGCTGCGACACCCCGCTGTAGTCTGTAATGGACTGGCCTGAGGTCTCACTACAAACAAGCGGCTGCTGGAAGAGAGTAGGTGAGTTGTGTTTAGTCTCTTTGTTAAAGAAATGAGTCAAAGTTAAAAAGATGTTTGGTGTCTAGTACTATGTCTGTGACCCTATATGTCCTGTTGATGAAGTTAGGTGCTGCTCTGAGCATTATTTGTGGCTATAGAGTGGCGTTTTGGAGAGTGGCGTTTTGGTTGGGGGCGTGGCTCTCTGTATTTCTATCCTGCGGTCGTTACTAAAGTTGGTATAACTAGAGAAGCAAGCGGTCGACAACATTCATCTCTGGAGGGGGGGTCTAACTCGGTGTTACGGTGTGTTTGACCCTAAATTAATTTATGCCGGAATATCCCTTTAAATATGACAGCAGTTGAAGAGTTAATGACAAAAACTCAGAATGCAGTTCTCAGACAAACTGTGTACACACACACACACACACACACACACACACACACACACACACACACACACACACACACACACACACACACACACACACACACATTTCTCTGGGATAGCAGCTGTTAAACACACAGGCTGACTTTAGACACACAACATCTCTCCTCTCTCACACACACACACTCTCACACACACACACACTCTCACACACACAGTGCAGGCCTCCTGATGCTCGTCTTTCATCCACCACGCTGCACAGCTGCTCACCTTATTGCCAGCAGTGCTCAGTTCAACCCCCAACCTTGCCTCCAAGGTACACACTGGATGTGTGTGGGCTTTGTTTGCCTGTGTGTGTGTGTGTGTGTGTGTGTGTGTGTGTATATATCTGTTTGCACGTCCATCTCTGGATGTACAGTATGTGTCAGCTCTGGCGTGTGTGTTCATGCATGTAAGGTTCAGTGTGTGTGTGTGTGTGTGTGCGGGGTCAGGCCTCAGAGGCCGGGCTCGCTGGCTGCTATCCTGCGTTGACTGTGTGTGTGTGTGTGTGTGTGTGTGTTTTGGTGTGTTCCTGGGTAACCCCGCATGCACACACGGAAACAGGTAGCGGGGGCGCCATGTATTATTCATTTAAGGGATATAGAGGGGGAGGTGAGGGGTCAGAGGAGTACAGCGCCTCCTGTTGAGTCGTATCGGCGGGTTGGGATGTGGGCAGGGTGGTCAATGTCGACTTTCATCCACGACGCCGCAGCGCAGGGAGGAACAGGAGGTACGTGTTCACAGAGCGCGCTCAGTGAGAGTTTAAACTGTGAGTGCAGCTTAAAGGGAATCCTCCGGGGTCTTCTTATACTGAGAGATGCAAACACTAATGCTGCACATATACAGACGGATTCAACCACCACAGAGTCTTTATTTAACTGTCTGAACCAACGCTGTAAATCACACACAGGAGGTGACAGTTTCCCCTCAGCTCCTCCTCTCCCCTCAAGCCCCGCCCACAAACAGACGCTCCTGCTCGCTCGTATCGTTCCAATTAAATTCAGATATAATGCAGATAAATACTTCAGATCATTACAAATGGGGCCCAGTCAAGGTGAAAGTCAAAAGCATTGGTGCTACTGTAGATGCCAACAGACTACCAGCAAACACAATGTTTGCAGGACTTCTACAACGAGGATAAAGTGACATAGTCCAGGACCCGAGGGAGGACAGTTTAGCGATGGCGCTACAACACGCTACAGCAGGTCCGTTTGACAAGAAACACTTCTGTTACAGACACTTGTCTTACTTTGTTAAAGCGGTTTACCTGTCCAGCAGAAAGGTTACAGGGTCACCAAGATCCCCAAGCGTCCCCCATGGTTTATGTTGACCCGGCTTTTTAGCTCTTGTCCGGTCTACCTCCGTTTTAAGCGCCCGTTATTCCTCCAGAGTCTCCGGTATTTACTTTGTTTTCTTGCTTGTGTCGGCAGTCGTGGCCAAAGGAGGATTCAGACAATTTTCCGAACTTTCTGGTTGGTTTCTACTGTCCGATATTGTAGCACGCTAACTTTGTTTGGGCTCCTGAACGACACGGGGGAGCAGCGTCAGTCAAATGTTGACGACACAGACATAAGAGAACACAGAGATATCGATACATTACCAAATGTCATCAATAACTAATAATTATTGACTGATATTAGAAGAGTTTTTGTTTATACATCACAACAGAAAAAGATGCTTCTTTATCGGGATCTTGTCTGCCCCACCTTTAATCGTTTTTATAAAAACAGTTTATAAACTTTGTGTGAAGAAAACAGACTTTAGTATCTGATCTGAATTATATCAGGTATCTGCTCAGAAACGTGAGCGTCCCGTTATTAAAATGACAGGATGACATTATGAGTTTGACCTAATGCAGAAACTGCACCATGATATGGACTTGAACCTGGTGCAGTTTTATCGGACTGGGGCTGCATGTTGCACCTTCGCTCCACCCCTCTCTGAAAAAAACAACCAAACCGAGCAGCAGCAGCAGCAGCAGCAGCAGCAGCAGCATCATCGCCCACACAGCGAGTAATGGATGCCGGGATCACACAACCACTTTGCTTTGCTTTTTCCAAACATGCCTGGATGGCCTCGGGGGGGCGGAGGAGAAGTTAGGCACCTCTTAGCCTTACACCTGGCACAAGATACACAGAGGCAGCCAAAGTTCAAACCCCTCTGCGGATCTGTGTGTGTGTGTGTGTGTGTGTGTGTGTGTGTGTGTGTGTGTGTGTGTGTGTGTGTGTGTGTGTGTCTCGACGGGCAAAAATGCAATATGAGGTGCGAAGAGGCGGCAGCAGACAGCACAGGAACAGACCTGCATAATGGAGCACAGATCCCCCGTTGGTTCCTTTTTAACACCTCAGTGTAGTCTGAGAGGAGAGTGAGACAGAGAGAGAGAGAGAGAGAGAGAGAGACGGGGCGAGGGCGACAGCCAGACACCGAAAGAAAGAAAGAGAGAAAGAGAGAGAAGAAAGAAGGGAGGACTTGTAATTGAGCAGACAGCAGAAAGCTGCATGTAGCAGTGAGTCCAGACTTCTGTGAACACTTTCAGCAGAAGTTGTTGCTTCGCTGTTGTTTGGCCTGGCTTGGAGAAAGTTGTCTGGCGCCGGATCTGTGGAGACGCTTCCTTTGATTTAAGGTCTGGAAATACCTTGTCTTTGGCTGAACAAACACATACTTTCCAAGCTTAAGGGGGGATCGGATCGATTCCAAGTCGGACACAACCATCAGAACTTCACACACCTACATGGGAGGGGGATCTCATGTGCTACCTTTGGTACCTTCAGAAGTTCTCGTCTCTCCTTCGCCCTTACCAGATGAGACAGGGGATCGGGAGTACAAAGAAGGAATGGCTGCTCGAAAAAGGCAAGAATTTCAAGCTTGCTTTGGGCAAACGGGGGTCTTTGAAGCACCCAGTCCTCCATTAAAAGGAGAGTGGGGTGGAGGGGGGAGAGAAAAATCAATGTTGACACAAAAAAGCGTGCTATCTATTGCTGGGAATCCACATGGATGTGAGGTTGTAACGTGAAGCGAGGATACAACATTGTGATCTTAATCTTTGTTTCAGGGAGAAGAGACGGCGCCGATCATGTGACTAAACTCAGACTCAGTTCAGATTCGTCCCTCTTTTCAAACCTGGACGGATTTCAGGGTCGTAATGACAAAAAGGTGCAAATAGTTTGAAAAGTTCTCCACAAATTCAGCAACAGCAGCGACAATAAAAACCTCAGATTTACGGTAAATCGCTGCAGAAAGATCAAGACTCAGACCGTTACAGGAAGAGTCTGAAAACAAACACAAGAGTCTGCTTCACTTTCCTCAAAACTACAAAAACAGCAGTTATTTTTGTTTTTTTTACAGATTACAGGAGCTGCTGCTCTACCTTTATTCCGCTCATGCACCCTCGAGTCTAGTCTGTCGGTTTGTGATGAGAGAAAAACAGAAACAGTCACGGGAGCTGCTGCTCTACCTTTGCCTCTATAGGCTGTTTTTGCATTTTTCAAAATAAAAGTTGTGATGGATTAAATTCTTCCTAGAAGCAGCAAACAGAGAAACAAAAAAACAGGAGGATTAAATGAGTGTGTTTGATAAAGCTCATCACTGCATCCTGCAAAAAGACGTCTGAAACAGAGAAAAGAAGATCTGCATTCAATCATCTGCGTCATGTTTTCAAAAGACCTTCTCCACAGAGGGTGACGGTGCTCATGGGAAATGCAGTTTTCATCCAAAAGCATTACGACAAATGAAGTCAATTCTTCTCCACGTGTGTTAAACTCACTCTTCCACCTTCATTAAAGCATGTGAGTCTGTAAACATCATTAATCGTCACAATTCTGCAAAACTCCAACGTCAACATAAACCTACAACGACACAAAACCCGCCGCAGATCTGAAGGAGAGGTGGTTTTGAAGATCTGAAGGAAGCCTTTCCTCCACCATGTTTATCAGCATTTATATATAGATCTTTAAGAGTATCTATATAAAGCCTTAAATTTTCACCACATCATCAAATCACCAGCTGAGCCTTCAGACTCGATCGTCTCCAATAGGATTGCTGCAAAAAAACCACAAACCACACCCACATGAGGCCTCCAGCAGGGAATTACCAAACGCTTACAGACATGAAATGATAGAAAATACTCCTCTGAAATCTCGGCTACATAGGAATTTGAGTCTATTTATCTCTTTAGCTCAGGAAGTAATGGAAGTCTGGGGGTGCAACTGCATCTTTAGACACATTTTGGCCTAATTAAAGTATCTCAAATCGTTAGCCATGTGGGGCTGTGCCAAGCCCCGAGTTAGCGGATGATCTCTGATGGTAAATGGACAAGGATTTGTGACTCCAGTTTTCACACATCAAAGCCGCAACTCAGGGGGAAGATGGGGAGAAAAAAAACACATCGCCCTGAACCTTTCCAAGTCCGGGAAAACTCAGTCGTGGGTGTACGGAAACCTCGGAGAGGCGCGGAGGAAGAAAGAGACGCAGGAAGAGAGAGGGATGCAGACAAAGAGGAGATGGAAAGAAGGAGTTTGACTTCAGAGTATCACGGTGTCCTTTTTCGTGGCTGCAAATTAACTAACAGGTGGTAGCTAGGAGGTTTGGAAGTACGGATCTGAGGAGGGGGGAGGTTGGCCAAGAGGTAGAGCCCAGACTGCAGCATCTCCAGCCCTGTGATCTGACTCCAAGCTGGCAGCAACGCTATCAACAACGGAGACTGCAGATGTTGCCGGGTTCCCCTTTTTCCTCCAACATGGCCCTCAGCTTTTTTAACCCCCACTCCCTCCACAGATCCTGTGTGTGTGTGTGTGTGTGTGTAGTCGTGTGTGTGTGTGTGTGTGTGTGTGTGCGTGTGTGTGCTGAGTAGGAGGTCCTGTGAGCAAATCCTGATCAAGGCCTCTGACTGTGACAAGCGATGTCAGGGCTCGTTTCTAAGTAGTTGCTGCTCCTTTCTTGTTTGTGTGTGAGAAAAACAGAGAGTGTGTGTAGGTGCGTCTGTGTGGGTGTGTGATTGTGAGTGTGTTGTTTTTCATTTTGCATGTGTGTGTGTGTGTTTACTGGCATCTTTCTACACACTCTCTGAGTCTCTTTCTAGCTTTGTTTCAAAGACGACATTGTTCCTTTCTTCTGCAGGAGTGTGCTCATGCATGCATGTGTGTGTCTGTGTGTGTGTTTATGTGTGTGTGTTTGCATCAGTGTTTCTCCTCTTTCAACATAATTTCTCTCCTTGATTAAAAAGTCATATAAATAACAACATTTCCTGCTTTTTTGTGATTATTTTGCAGTTTTTAAACCTGATTTTCTGTAACAGAGTCTGACCGTTGTGCACGAGAGTGTAAAGATGATCTAAACCACTAAACCAACAGGTTAAAAAAGGAAAGGAACACCTTTGCATTGTTGGTTTTAAACCTGTTTTGTCTCTAATAATGAATTTTCTCACTTTTAGTCTAAAATCCATCAAATATAAAAACCTAATCTCTTTAATCTGAGGCTGAAATATCCTGATAAATTCATTTAAAGAAGCATGTGCTCCATTTTTACTCCATTAGGTCATATATATGTGCCTCTAAATAACAGTCCTCTCTGCACCGTCAGCCACGCCTTCTTAAGATGCTGCAAACATCCTCCTGAACTCCACCCTGGACTTTGGTCTTCGGTCCGTCTGCAGGTTTAAATAAAGTTTTTACTATTTTTCTGACTTTGATGCAACTCGAACTGTAAACCTGTGTACTTTCTCCAAATGTCCTCGACTGTGTGTACTCCATGTGTAACACCAGTGTGTGTGTGTGTGTGTGTGTGTGTGTGTGTCCACTTGCAGCTTTGATTCGTCTCTCTTTTCTCTCCTGTGTGTCTGTGAACACCGAACAATTGGATGCACAGGTGGTCCGTCCACTTCTCCTCTTCCAAGTGTTAGATTTCATTACAAACAGTGTTGGAGGTGGGTCGAATGTGTGTGTGTGTGTGTGTGTGTGTGTGTGGTGATGGTGGGGGAGTCCTGTCGACATCTGTGGGCCTATTTGAACGGGTGGATGAGACACAAGTCTCTGCCGAGTTTCTCCGAGGAGCAGAAAAGAGTCGGACCGAGATGAGATCATCGAAGTGAGGTCGTCGAATTTACTACGAGGAGACTTTTGTTGAAATAAAGGTGTAAGAGACGTCTGAACAGACATGATTATCACTTTTTTTAAAGGACTCGTTCACTTTTCTTTTCACTAAAGTTTCCTGACGTGTTTCTTCTTTAACAAACGTGCCTCAGAGACGTTTTACTGCTGCAACAGTCTCACCTGCAAACATCAGACATTTTTAAAGCGGGGAAAGAATAAAAAAACTGCAAAAGTAGGGTCTTTAAAAGAGAAAAAAAGCACCTTTGGACATGAAATCGGACCCTAAACTGTCTCATCTATAACACTGCAGGGTTGTAAGGATATCGTAGTTGAGGTTTAATCCTGCGTCTCTGTGTTTCTGCAGTTTCCTGCTCTTTCTCTTCCACTCTTTGGCTCTGCTGCAGGGATCATTTACAGCTTCCCTGTTACTAAAAAGCTTATTAGGATTCAACAAACAAACTCCGCAGTTAAAAGGTGATTTACTCTCCCACACTGTGCATTTCGAGACATCCTCCTTTCCTCTTTTCTCTTTGTTGAAAAAGGTACGGGCTGCAGCCTGCTGCTCCTCTTTGGCTCCTGGTGAAATTGTTCTTGGCAGTCCTGCGAGGCTTCTCCCTGTTATGTGCCATTTGAAAGCATTACGAAATCTGCCATCTTGACTGCGCGAACCAAATAACAACAAGAGTGCATTGTGCGCCACCTGCTCCACACATTTAGGTGGCTTTAAATATGCAGGCGTAATGGCACCTATCCCCCCCAGTCTGATGAGGCACGGCTCTGAAGCAGAGAGGGGGTGTTTGAGGGGTATTTTTAGGGCAAATAAAGGGGTTTGTAGCTCCACTTAAGGCTGGCGCCCGTCCGCCTTTGCCTCTCTTGTTAAAGAACAAACATGTGATGACAAACTCTGGCTTCCTTCAGGCATCCAGGAGGTGTGTTGCTTTCTCTGTGTGGAGTTATGGCTGTGATGAGGCTTTGTCTGGCTCTCTGGCAGTGAAAGAGGCGAAGCCAGGATGGCAAAGATGAACAGACAGAGGAAATAAAAGAGAAATTAATGGGCAGAAGGAGCCAAAATAGGCCGTTAACGCCGCTGTGAGCAGGTAAACGCTGGCGCCCTGATAGAGACAGGTATCAGAGAGGTCCGCCTCCGTGATTAAGGTGAGTATGTGATGGTTTTTAAGAGAAATCAGAGGTGGAAGACGCCGTTTAAGGTCCTAAAGGAGGTGATGCCAGCTTCAATCTGAAAGAAGAGGACATCAAAAATCTATAGCAGTCCAATCCTGTTATTGATCGAGGCAGAAGGAGAGTAAAAAGGAGTGGAGGTGGCCAAAGAGACAGAGGGAGGAAAAGAAAGTCTGCTATCTGTGAATATCAAACCATCTGTCTGTCCCTGAGAGCCGCACAATTCAGCAAATCAGCCGCCGAACACACACAAGACACACGACCACAAGGATGGAAATACGGACACAGCCGAGTCCAAACGGCAGAAATCACCTGGAAAACGTCAAACCTCAGAGTAAAAGGTGGAGAAACTCTCCTCAACAACACAGGATCCGTTTACAGCTCCTCATGACTCACCAAACGGAAAATATCTCAGAAACTTTAATCAGGAGCCAACGTGAAAACCAGCAGAGATCTAAACACTCAAGTTTCTGCTCCTCGGACCCATCCCAAAATCTTTAAAAAATGTTTATTAAAACCAAAAACAATCGAGTTATGTTTCAACCGCAGCGCTCTTCATCAGACGCAAAAATGTGCTTCAGTATTTTACCTTTTATAAACAATCTTTAACTGTTTTCCTGTTCGGAGAAATCACACTGAGATCCTTTTAACCACCGACCACTCATAATACACAGACGGATGAAAACGAGGTCGCCGAGAGGTAAAACTGAATAATACCAAACTCTACGAGAGGACAGAAGTATTTCTAGATGGAGTTCAGAACAAAAACCGAATCTGATGGTTTGGGATTCTTTCAGATCTACATTTGGATAAAAACGGTGCAAAGACGACTCAAAATCTGACACTCTTTCTGGAAATCGTGGACGCTTCATCTTCCACTCGGATGTTCAGACAGTTTAACTCCTAATCTGAGTGAAAATGAAGCATCGCCGTTAAAGCATCACGAACAGACCGCACAGCGCCGTGTTTCCACCCTACCTCAGAGCAGGAAGGAAGCAGCGAGCAGAGCGGGTAAATTAATGAGAAAATAACTCCGGCTTTTGTGTTTTCCCACCTCATGTTAAGGGAGGGGATATTTTTGTCAGTTGTTAATTACTGTCATATGGCTACAGCACCTTTTTCCCTGAAATGACAGAGAATGGAGGGAGGGGAAGGATGGAGGTGGGCGGGTTGGCGGGGTACGAAAATTAACTCGACTCTGAGAGTGTGATCTTGTCATGTACCTGATGTACCAGGGAACATGTCTAACCCTGCTCTGGATGAATCTCATCTCTTCACGTTTTTTAATTTGTGTGTGTGTGTGTGTTTGCTCTTAGTTACACACAGACTGAAGGATTATTATTATTATTAACCCCAGTGACCCTGTTGTTCTGGACGTCAGAAACTCCTATAGAAATATGAATATGGGGTAAAGTTGAGAACAAGTCCACCTCAGACTCTCCACCTCGGCCCCGTTTTGCTCTTTCAGCCGTTTGGAACTTATAATGGCTCTTAGGTGTGGGAGTATGTGGCACTCGATAGCCGGTGAATGTCCACTTCACACATATCGACGGTGTAAAGGACAGAACGTCGCTTGGCGCCTGGCTGGGGATTGTCTCCATTTCCTGGTTGACCGCTCCAGTTGCTCCCACCGAGGAAGGAGGGGTCATTACTCCTCCCATCACAGGCCGCCGACCTCAAACCGCGGCGTGCAAACGCTAACCTTTTCTCGCCCCTCCAAAATCAAATCAATAACACTTTGGCCAGGAAGAGGGAAACACTGTGTTGGCATTAATCACCTGCCCTTCCATGCTTGACTCTGCAGTTTGTTCCTCGATGTCTGGCTCTCTGTTTGGTTTAGAGGTAATGGATGGCTGGCTGTGTGTGTGGGAGACTGACTGACTGGTTTCCCTGCTGAATAACTGCCTGCATTTCCAGCTGAGTTGAGGCAGACGGTCATCAGTCAAGCCTGAACAACTATCTACGCTGGGAGGTAACTGTAAAGTCAAGACAAGTAGCTTCAAATTACAAGTTTACAAGTTTAGACCAGAGGGACTAAAACCTGGATGACATGAAAACCTGAAGAGGGAAATTTGACTCATTTAAGGTGGAAACACAAAAAATCAGAAGAGCTGCAGAAATGTTAACGAGCATCTTCATCAAAAACACTCATGAATGAGAGGAGATGGAATAAAATATTAAAAAGATTAAAAAAAAGGAATTCTCCACCTTATCACCCTGAACTATAAGGCGCCGCAACAACTATGTATATGATGTAATGTGATATGATATGATATGATATATGATGTGATGTTATATGATATATGATAGATGATGAATGACATAAAATGATAAATGTTAAGATATGATATGATATATGTGATAAATGATATATGATATCATGTGTTGTGATATGACGCTAAATGATTTGGTCCAATGCTCTACAATGTGATATATGATAAATGATATTTTATGATAGGATATATGATAAATAATATGATTTGATATATTATAAATGATATGAAATGAAAAGGTATATGATATGATGTATGAATTTATATGATATGATATATGATAAATGATATGGAATAACACAATATGATATATGATATAATGTGATAAATGATATATTATATTTTTTTTTTGTGGTATGAGGCTAAATGATTTAGTCCAATACTCTACAATATGATATATGATAAATGATATTATATGATAGGATATGACATTATTTAATATGATATGATATCATGTGTTGTGATATGATGCTAAATGATTCGGTCCAATGCTCGAGATAAAATACTCTCAGATAGTATTGGATGCAGCACAATATGATGCGACAAATGCAATATAACACCTTATGGCTTGATATGAGTCACAAACAGGGGGCCAACATGTTATATTCAGGAATCGTTCTATATCTGAGTATCTCCTCTTCAGTTTAACATCTACAGACATTTTTTCCTGCAAACATTTTTATCCTCATCCTCTGACTGTAGAAAATGAAAAATAATTTAAGTTTTTTAAATGAATCCGGTCTCCAATTGTGTATAAAAGAGACATTTACAGCTTTCCAACCACCACTTCTACAACGACCTTCCCATCACCACTTTCCTCCACCTGGGCGTAGTCTGCTCTGAAACTTGGAATCTGAGATGCTGAATCATCCGTGTTGATCTGACTGAACAGAAAGACTCGGGTCTGTTTTCCACAGCTGAACATGAGGCTGCCAAACTGGCTGACTCAGGCAACCAGGACCCACAGTCAGACCGAGGATGATTGAACCCACAGATGAAATCAGATAGACCCTAAGAGTCACTGCATGATACTTTATCAGAGATCACCATTACACCGGTTTACAGGAAGAAGAAGAAGAAGAAGACGGCGAGTAAAAACAGTTCGTCAACAGGATAGAAAAGCGTCTTTTTCAGCCTCATGATTTAAACATCTCCAGGGTATTTCACAGCAGCAGCCGATCGCGCCTTTAGGTAAGTCACGTGAAGCCTGAATCGGTTTTAAATCTCAAAGACTCCTGGACAAATACTGGCGCTCATCTTGGTGGTCCCTTTCACATGATTTTTCTTCTGGGCTTCGCCGACACGCGCGCCAATCATTTTAATCATCTGAATAGGCATTTTGGGGTCAAAAGATTTCCCGTTTGAGCTTCTTTTGAAAATCCACATCCTGATTTGATTCGAGTGAATTCACCCCACCGTTGGCTTGCTTCACACTCGTCAAGTGTTCCCTGTCCTTCCTGTGATTGCATTAGCAGAGCCTGATATCAGCCCTGCAGTCCCATCCACATAAATACTCCTCTCGAGGCTCTTGTGTAAGCACATACAGGTGCAGCCATAGAGGGCCTAGCTTTGCGTTGGCAGGAAACAGGTGTCGGGCTATTGATAGCGTCCTGATGAGGGTGGGAGAGGGGGTGAAGAAATACAGGGTATGAAAATCAGGTGGGTTGTTGTGCGGTCCCCGGGTACAGTCTCGACTAATTGTTACCAACGTTTTCGAGTCTATTTTTGTGGCCTGGTGCCAGATGGTTGTGGTTTACAGGGAAGAGAAAAGGAAGGTACTTGGTGTTTATAACAGGTTGTTGATTCCTGATGAAAAGCGACCTCGGGGACCCCTTAACACCTGGCTAAGAGAGACGTGAAATTATTAACAGTATGTAAATGTGTGTGAGGATGGTAGGTGTATGTTTTCATGCTGTATGAACAGCGTGCAAATATCTGTTTGGTCCAAGTGTGACTTCCAGGAAAAACTGTGTTTGGCTGTTTATTTGTGGTCGAAACTGTTGAAATAGTTTCTCTAACTGTAAAAATAAAAGGTGCATACGAAGGATGACAATAAAGAGCGATTCAAGACACTTCTCCAAGCAAATACTCCTCTGAAACATGACTTCAGAGTAAAAGCATTGAAGAGGGGGTCCCAACAGACAAAAGTGCATCAGGGCTTCGCTTTGAAAACATCACAGAAGTTCAACTATCAACATTTCCAGTAGAGAGCAGATAAAGCCCCGAATCTCAACATCATTTTCTGTTCGGTCTCAGCTGGGACCAAGTCTTTGACGCCGTCCTGCAGCGACACAAGTCTTGCATGTAAGGTTTTGTGCACACAGGGTTTTGCATGATGCAAGTTTCTGATGCGTACAACCGTCTGTCATTCCTGCACAAAACGTCGGAATCAAAAAAGGACAAGATGGAAATATTTGGTTGATTTGCAAACAAACTTTAAAGGAAATCCTGCAGGACAATCTCAAGAACAACTAAAAAAACAACCAGCTACTAAATAAATCAGCTGTTTCAGTCATTTAGGGTTCAACTTTGCAAAACTTGAACCAATAAAAACTCTTTAAATACAAAAATAAATCGAAAATAAATCATGTTATCACCAAAAAATTAAGTTTTTAATCAGAGGTAAGAGAACTCCACCTCCATGCATCCATCCTCAGCACCGTTCAATCTCAGGTGCTGCCTCCAAGCATGACATTCCTCCACACAGAACTCAGAACAGCGCCTCCAGTGGTGGGAAAGTGCGTCTCCACCCAGCGGAGGAGAAAGAAACAAACAGAGCCGACATGAAATCGATGCCTAAAACACCTTAATCTTCCAATTAAAGCTCCTCAGCGGATGCGGTGAGATGGTAACTGTGATAAGTGCAGGTTGGAGTGAGGCGAGGAGGAGCAGGAGGGAGGAAGAGGAGGAGGAGGAGGAGGAGGTGAAACCTACACAGGTACGTCTGTCACGGGTAATTACCTTCTCAGCGCCCTCGGCTCTTCGAGCTGCCAGTCGTGTGTCTGTCAGAGAGATCAGCTTACCTCTTGTCTGGGAGTGTGTGTGTGTGTGTTCACGTGCGCACAGAGTGAGTGTGTGTTAGAGGTGTGTGTGTACTCGAAGTCGGTGTGTGTCTGATGGAGATAAAATGAGCGTGTAAGACTGGCAACAAGGAGGTAATTTGTGTAAGTGTGTGGGAGTTAGAGGAGTGAGTGTGCATACAGGTGTGCTGAGTGTTTGCACAAATGAGCGTGTGCAAAGAGAAGCTGTTTGCATACGTGTGTGTGTATGCAAAGTTAAGCACGTGTGTGCATGTGTGTGTGTGTGTGTGTGTGTGTGTGTGTGTGTGTGTGTGTGTGTGTGTGTGTGTGTGTGTGTGCAGGTTTTGTAAATGTGCATCTGTAATTGAAGAAGGAAAAAAAAGAGAGTGTGAGAAATCCTGAGAGCAGGTTTGTGTGTTCCTAAAAGTGTTAGTGTGGAAACTCGATAAGTAAGACAGCATGTACCTGGAGAGAGAGAGAGAGAGAGAGAGAGAGAGAGAGAGAGAGAGAGAGAGAGAGAGAGAGAGAGAGAGAGAGAGAGAGAGAGAGAGAGAGAGAGAGAGAGGTGTGTATGGGTGACAAGAAGGTGTGTAGCTTTCTGAGATCCACACACACACACCTTTCAACCCCACAAAGCATCCATTGAGAAGTGAAAAGGTAGCGGGCCGATGGGAGGGATTGTTGTGCAAACAGGCGAACACAAAGGAGGTGTGTGTGTGCGTGTGTGTGTGTGTGTGTTAAGAGGCGGCGGGCAGGTAATAGAGCAGACATAATGGGAGCTAAGTACCTGTAATCCTTGGAGATATCACTCCAGACAAGAGGGGACTCTGGGTAATTCCCTCCGGTTGGTGTAATTGGTCCCTCGCCAGGTTGGAGTATGTGTTGTGTGTGTGTGTGTGCGTGCTGGGGTGTTTAGGGCGGAGTATCAGGTGTGAGAGGGCGTCAGCTGCTCTGAGTGCCTTCTATTGATCCAGGAGAGGGACTGTGTGTATGAAAATGTGTGTGTTTGTGTGTGTGTGTGTGTGTGTGTGTAAGTGTGCGTTTCTGACCCAAATTCAGCTGGAAGCATCTGGCAGAGAAAAACAACAAGCAGCTCCTACCTGATTCACCAGGAAGAGGAGGCAGGTGCAGGAGAGGTGGATCATGATGGCCATGGCGATGATTATGATGATGATGATGATGATGATGATCTGCTCAGGTCCTGCCAACAAAACAAGATCCTGAATCAGTTTAGTGGTTGCATCAGTGTACGATAAAGAGTGATCCTGCAAGACACAGATGTATGTTAGGCCAGAGGTCACTGATCTCCACCATCAGAGATCTATCCTGTCTTTACTGAGTGATAAGGATATTAGGGCGGCGGCGGTGGTGGCGGAGAGTCTCTCCAGTCTGTTCCTGTCGGACTGACGTGTAAAAAGAAACCAAAATGAAGATCTCAGAGATCTGTTTGAGCAAAGACGTCTTTTCTGTGTCTGTGAAAACATCGTCCCTGAAGCTGCTGAAGCATGAGTCAATGTCAATGAGAGAACATGATTAAATTAAGGATATGTGAGAAACCGTCTGTGTGTGTGTGTGTGTCTAATGCTTACACATGCATGCATCTCCAGCACATGTGCGTGCGTGCGAGCATGTGTGTGTGTGTGTGTGTGTGTGTCCCATTTCTTCTGGATATCTGCTAATTGTGCATTTCATTTCTGCTCAAGTGACTCTTTTAAGGCAAAACAGATACTGAGAGTTTGAGCGCCGAGAGCGACGGCGAGAAGCGAGGACGAGGAGGAGAAGAAGAAGAAGACAGAGCGAAAAGAGAAAAAAAAAAAAAAACACAGCAGAGATAAGAAACAGGAAAGACAGCTGCTCTTTTCCCTCTCATTTCATCCAGTTATTGGTTAACTCGGTGGAAAGAAAGTAAATGTTCAAGGGATTTCAGGTCGGCCCCTGCCTCCGCCAAGGTAGACGTGCACTCCACTTGAGGTCTAATTCAACTCTTGTGTAGTATTGATCGCGGCGGCGGCCACAAGGGAGCCCGCCGGTCTTTCCCCCGGACTAAGGTAGACAACGGTGAGAGAAAAACGTGTTGTAAATGCCTCCCTCCCTCCTCCTCTCCCCTGTTGGTACGAAGCTGCTGCTGCTTTTTTCTTCTTCTTCTTCTTCTTCTTCTACCCACTTTTGAGTGTTTTTTTTTTTTTCCTCCCTTCAGATTTCGCCGCAGAGTGATGGAACACCTTTGGAAAACCACCGCGGGGACCGCTGCGTTCGGCGCTCAGGGGTGTAATTTGAAGAAGAACAAGAGGACAGTTTGTTTGTGTTTGGGAGGGTATTTGTGGGCCGGCATGTGCGTCTTCTGACATGCATTTATGTAAAGAACAAAGTGTTTTCAGCGCGGTTTCAGCTCCGGGGGCCGACAGCTGATTCAGCTACACTCGGACAGGAGGGGGTGAGGGGTCGAGGGGAGGTGGATGGACGGATGCAGAGAGGTGATGGCGGGGTGGACCGGGGGCGGGATGCAGGAAGGGGCTGAGGGGGTCCTGGAAGAAGCAGTACCTGCGATGAGAAAAATATGGATTCCTGTCGGCAAGACAAATTGATCTCCAGTGTGTGGGAGGAGCGGGGAGGCTTGTGAAGGGAAATCTGCTGAGAGGGAGGGCAGGGAAACAGCAAGAAGGAGCTGGACTTCAGGTTTCTGAGTGTGTGTGAGTGTTCGAGAACTACTTCAGCAGATATTAGTCAGATACTGGATTCAGATTCTGACAAACAACTCTGATCCTTTCAGCGTCTGCAGGCTGATGAGTAACTTTCTTGGCCTGGTAATAGTTTTGTTTTCTTCCTCGGGAGTAAAACCGTGTTTCCTGCACTTGCACAAAGTTGGAGAACATGCAGGAGTCAGATTAGACAACAGGAACGACGGGAACGCTTCAAACCCGAGGTCAAACTACACGTTTAAAGCACAGCCTGATCCTGCAAGAACGAAAGTCAGAGAGTAAAACTAACAAGTGGAGAAGAGAAAGGAGGAGGAGGAAGCTGGCGCTGCAAAAGAGTGCAGGGTTGTGTACACTACACTTCCCATAATGCACGAGGTCATACTCTGGAAATGTTCAATAATATTGATATAATATTAATCTGTTCTAATAATATAAATATATTCAATCATGATGTTATTTTTGCATGCTGAAGTATCAGGTACCTGTCTGTGCACATGTGCAGGATATATGTGTCTGCACGATTCAGCCCATCTGTGTGTGTGTGTGTGTGTGTGTGTGTGTGTGTGTGTATGTGTGTGTGTGTGTTTCAGCTCCTCACACCTGTTCCAACCCTGGACGTTTAAACACACACACACACACACACACACACACACACACACTCAGGCATGTAAACAGGAAGAGGGTTATGTGAGCAGAGATGCCAACACTCTCCTTTGGGGAATCCGTCTCTGTGTCTGAACCTCCAAATATATATTTCCTCTTTAACTGATTATATTATCATCACAGTTTTTAAAGCGATCTTTGTTTTTATGATTTTAATTTAGAGACTAAACTGATGATAATAAAGGAGTGAAATATTTGCACTGCTGTCTGTTTTGATCTTGTTTTAAACGTCTCTGTAAATAAGACGCCTGCCGCTCACACAAACATCCTTTAAACAGTTTTCAGTCCGTGAGCATCAGAAGCTTCATGCATAAACCATGTGACAGCAAAGGTAAATGTCACACAAACACATAAAAAACCCATCCAAGCATTAAACAGGCCATCACTTCATCTCAGAGCCCATAAATCAAACGCAGAACCAAGGAGACACATTTCAGGAAACGCTCACACCATTGTTGTTCCTCAAATACCTCAACTACTCTCAATGTTCTGCATCTGTTCAGGCGGCTGCTGAGGTTTGCCTCTGAGCGCCGGCGGGGTGACACCGTTATCGCCCGGCGCCGCAGATTGGCACCTGTCAGCGCGCATTCAGGCCCCTGTGAGTAACACTGACAGACAGGTTGGCGCGTCGGACCGGAGGTAGCACCCCTGGGTCCCCTGGACTCCCTCGGCGGATGGGAGGAAGTGAGGTGAAAGAAGAAGGAAAACAAACGCTGCTTTTGTTCTCTCATCTGCCAAAAACATCTCTGCTATCAGACACTTTACATCCGTCACAGTTTTTACCTATTTGGAGTTCAAGCATCGACATTTTTACACCCTATCCGAAATAATCTAACTTTACATCTTTGGAGGAGAAGGTCTGAAGTCTGACCGAATAATTACATCAATTTAAGTAAAAAAACACCAGAAATCCTTTTTTTCAACGTGTAATCTGTAAATAGTTTCCAAACTCATGACTTTCATTTTCATGTAACCACTTTTTTTTTCATGTGCACATAATCCCATGTGTTTTAAACAACCTTAACCTTCAGTTTTTGCAGTCTTTATAATCTAATTTGATTTATTTGTCGTCCTCTGCAGTAACTTTGTCTGAGGAGCTTTAACTCGGCCTTCGCTCAATCCCTGGTGGTGCACCTGAGCTGAATGTCAGGACTTGTCTGAGGGTTGAATGTTCCTGCAGAGCCTCCATGAGTCGAGTTGAAGATCTTTGAGTTTCATTAAGTTTAACCTTCGTTTAAAGAGCGTTAATCTCACACCGAGGTGGACAAGCAGGAAACGAGTCCTAAAGCACGGCCGAGGAAGATTGAAATGGTTAGTTCAGGAGTGTTTTCCTCTTCTTCATCGTTAGAGGAATTAGAGCTCCTCTAAACTCAAGTCCCGCTCTTTTATTTTATTTTTTCCCTCCGGTCCGGACGCCGGGGTCAAAGCGGCGGAGTAAGCGCCTCCTTATTGAAGCAGACAAGAGCAATGATCGATGCCAATCGCGTAATCAGGCTTTATTTGAAGGGGGTCGTTGATTCTCAGTCCATCAAGGTTAAGAGTGCCGCACTTGTCACGGCGTGATTTATTATTGCCAGGAGCAGACGAATAACGTCGCATGCCAAAGGGGGGAGGAGGGGGGAGGAAGGGGGTGTGGGAGCGTGGAGACCGAGCCTCGCCGTTTGTATTAATAAGTCCAGACGTTACGTGTGAGCCGCATTTTGGAAATTACCCTTGAAAAATTAGCGTGTCACGACCAATCGTCATCAAATGATTCAGGGGGCGTGGCCTGGTGTTATCTAAACGGTGTTGATCATCAGACGCACAGAGGGGGGGTCGAATGAGCGTTATTCACATGTCTTCAGGACTACACAGTAATTCTGCCCTCTCTTTGTTTTTGACCATTCGAGTGTGTAACTGAGTGTGTGAGTACGTGTGTGTGAGTGTGAGTGTGTGTGTGTGAGTGTGTGTGTGTGTGTGAGTGTGTGTGTGTGAAGACAAACTTTCACATCCAAATGTTGAATCAGTCTGAAAATTAACCCCGTAAGCTTTAAAGAAATCAGCCCCACATCGTTCTCTGAGAGTGTTTTCAAATATTTTACATCACTTAAACATCAACATCCTCATTTGAAGATGGATACGATCAATCGACATGTTTTATGTTCAGATTTGCCTAAAAGTGAATTATCTGATTTTACGCTTTTCAAAATAAAAGCATGAAAATAAAGTCAGGCAGGTGTCTGAGTGAGATAAATAAATAAAATGAACATTTAATCATATGTTTAAAATAAAAAAAAATATATATATATATATATATTAAAATCTTTAAAATGACCTTGACACTCCAACATAAGTCGTGGTATTTTATTTCCTTTCAGTTTTACTTATACAACAATTTCCTGTAGTTAGTCAGACGCCCCCTACTGCCCTGTAGTTTTCACTACAATTAACGACACATGTAAAATCTTAAAATCATAATATATGACAAAATAATTTCTGTTTTTAGGGGCTGCAGAGACTGTTGATGTTTTTCAGAAGAAGCTCAAGACTCACCTTTTTAACCAGTGTTTACACCAACTGCCTTTTTATATTTCTCTTATTGTAAATGTTTGTTTTAATCAAAGTTCTTCATGTTTATTTTATGTCGTTTTATTAATTATCTCTGTTCTTAGTCTTTTTCTTAATTCTCATCATGGGTTTTAACTTCTTTTACCCCTTTTTCATGGTACAGAGCTCTTACTTCTCTGTTCATTTAATGTTATTTTCTTGTTTTAGTCCATCAGGTTTTACTCTTTATTTTTATCTCCAGTGTTTCCTAAAGGTCGCTCTTTCCTCACGTAACTTCTCAGTGTCAGGCCGTGTCTCTTTAACAATATATCTTAAATTCTCACACTGTGTGCGCTTGTGTGTGTGTCTGTGTGTGTGTGGGTCCATGGGTGGGAGGGTCGGGTTTTATTGTTGTTAATTGTTGTTTTTAGCCTCTGTGAGGAACTTAGAAATACATTTTTAAAGTTGAATTTGAATTTGTATTTGAAGTTCACCTAAAAGCTCGAGTGGGGGACTTTGGCGCCCCCTGTGGACAAACAGGTACGTCTCCTCTCTTTGCTGATTTTAATGACGTTTTTCTTCAGGAGCTGTATTTAAAAAAAAACACAGTGGGTGTCTGCTCCTCGTGGGCCTGAATGAAGCGGTGAGGGCGGGATGTTGACACTCGAAGGTGTGTTCGTCTGTTCCCATGATCTAAGCGCTGACGCCGGTTTCGCTGCAGCTCCATCATCCGCTCTCTGAATAAAAGTGACGTGTAAAAGCTCCAGAAGCAGGATGTAAATCTCTCACTTTGGCTCCTGCTGCTGCTGCTGTGACTGATGCCTATTTACAAACAGGAGTGTGCGGCGGGGACACTCCCGCCTGTCCGTGGGAACTCGCTGGTATATGGGAGACGAATGGAGCGGAAACTGCATTTTTCATCCCGTTCCCCTCTGTTTGTGCTCCCCTTACACACACTACACAACAGGGAACACATGTAATGCATCACGCCGTGATTTCTGACAGCGAGGTGGAGGTAATAACTTCAGGACGCCCCGCTTCCTTTCTTTCCCTCCCTCCCCTCTCCCTTCATCCGCCAAACTCAGCGGCGAGACCCTCTTATGTCAGCCATCGATCTGGTGGCTGGAGACAACTCATTTCATCGCCGTGACACGCCATGATGGAGCGCCGCGCCCTCAACCCCTCGACTTATTCCCGGCCCCGCGCTCCAGCACGCCTCCGTCAGAGAGGCAGTGTGTCGGACGCTTGGCGAGTCTATTGATCTGCCACGGGTGGACGGCCAGAGAGGCGCTGACGCCATTCTCCTCTGGCAGTTTCTTCATTTCTGCGGGCCTCGTCAGACGGGCTCGGCTCTCTGTCTCCATATTTCAGATCCTGACACCCTCTCTGTTCGGGTCGGCTC